AAATGATATCAAAAACAAACCTTTGATTTGGGACGTGAATGGATCAGCAGTTAGATTTAGAAAATTGCATAAGGAACACACCTGATCTTATAAAATATTTTAATATGTTCAGAATGCCATTAAGATATAATCAACTAGTTTATTAAGGGTGCTTTAAGTGTTTTGCTGCTATTATTCTGTTTCTCTTGCCAGTTTCACTTTGTATACAACGAAATAAGTTTCCTTTACAAATAAAAAAGTTGTAAATTTCACACACAAAGAACAAAATTTTGGTCAAAGAAGTAAGCCTATTTGTAGCTCAACAGCTCAGTCATTGCTGACAGTGACAACATCAGTAAAATTCAAACAGATGACGTCGATCAAACTTTCCAAAGAGTCTTAAACTTTGAACCTCTTCCATGGTTTCATAATGGTTTACTCTCAAAACCTTGAAGTGTGCAGAGGCACACACCCAAACTCTCATTGACTTCCACTGTATCTGAGCACGTGCCGATGGAAGTGAGAGGGCTCTACAGGTATGTGACAACAGATCACAGGGACAGGTGAGTTGACGACATGTTTTAGATTCCAGTGATCAACATTCATCACACCAGATTGCATCAACTTCTTTATTTCTCAACCAATTTCAACAAAGTTTGTTTTATTTGCAWTTTAATTTTAGCTACATCCAATAAAATGGGKTTTWTTGTCATTTGGGAACTTTTTGGATTTTTGTCACACACCTACAGACACTTGTCACAGATCAGGATATATTTTTCAATAACACTTTTCCACACTGAGGTTTAAGTCTGTCTTATTAGGAGCGCTGTCAGAGACAGCCAATTACCCTGGGGACAAGCAGTGGTGGGCAGCACTKATCTAAAAATTAGTTCCACTAGCACTAAAGCACTAATCAGGAAATGAGTTCCCCTATTAGTGCTTTAGGGCAGGGGTTCTCAAGCCATTTGGGTCTGGGGACCCCTTACAAGGGTGAAAGAAATTCCAGGGACCCCCTCATAAACCCCAAAAGATAATTTATTGTCAATCCANGAAAGAAATTCCAGGGACCCCCTCATAAACCCCAAAAGATAATTTATTGTCAATCCAGCCCCTAAATGCCATGGGAATATATATTTTTATTAAGTTTGTTATGTTTGTTTTATTAATGCATTGTTCTCCATGCATTTTTTTAAAATAAAAATCTAGTTAACAATTTAGTCAACTTTTTTAGGACCCCCAAGACACCTCTGGTAGGGGAACTGTGCCCACCACTGGGGACAAGGATGAGACAATGCAGCTTCAGACAGCTTTAGTTACAAACAGAAATACTAATTATGTTAAAAGTTGATGTACTTGTCAACAGCAGGTGTGTTTACCTGAAGAGGAGTCTTCATGGTCGGAGCTCAGGTAGCCATCACTCCTCCTCTCCGGTGTGCTGCACCCGGAGCCCAGAGACGGTCTGCGCCGGTAAACCTGCGGGAAGGACGGGGACAGTCTCCCGTCGTCTCCGGAGTCCAGGTCCCTGCTGTGACGGAAAGGCCCCCGGCCGAAGGTGGGCGTCCTGTGCGCGTCCCTGCCCGCGGTCTTCGGCGTCAACAAGTTATTCCGGACGAAATTGTCGTTCAGCTCCGCGTCCTCGTAGTCTCTGTCGCTGTCGTTGTCCTCCAGCCGGGGCACGGCGACGGCGGGGGCCTTGGTCGTCGCGTCCCCTCGCCCAAAACCGGAGTTCGGCGGCGGGACAGGGATGGGGACGGGCTTACCTGTCCTGCGGCCCCGTTCTCGGCTGAAGGCGTTTCCTGCCGCGTGGGGCTTCAACCAGCCCGCCGTGTCGGACACCACCTTGGTCCTCTCCCCGCCGCCTTCATCGTCCCTCCGCTGCGGTTTTCTAACCTCGCCCGTCCTGAAGGAGACAAACGATGCGTCCAAGTTTGCGTCTTCGCCTTCGAGCCTTTCCGGGTCGCTTCTCTTCTGCCGAGCCACGGTGGTCTGCAGGTAAATCACCTTGAATTTCTCCTCCGCCAGAGCCTTCTGGAGCCTCCMCAGGTTGGATTTACATTTCTCCAGCTCACCCTCGATGTCCTCCACGGAGTTCAGGTCCATTTGGGGCACATCTCCGTCGGGAAACTCGTTCCTCCAGTGCTTGGCGAACTCGTCTTGTTCCCACATATTGATGTTAATTCTCGGGGCCGGCGGCAGAAATGTTCTCTGATCTGGTCTGTCAGCTGTCTGACGCGAACACCCACCTTCCTCTCTGCTTTTATTTAATAAAGAAGAACTGGGCTGTCGTGATTAACTTCACCCTGTTCACACCATCATCATCCTCTTACGCATGGCAGACAAACAGATGTATGCGGCCAACAACTTTGCCACAATGTTGAAAAAAAGTTTCAAGACTTCCTGTAATCGTGCTGCGTTCAAGAACGGCTGGGAAAAGTGTTGCGTCGGGTATTTAAAGGCACCGCGTTTCTTGGATCACCAGTTTCAGGGACGCTTCAGCTTCTTGTCGCCTTCACCAGGGAGCTGTCCTGTCCTGTGTGTGTGTGAATCTCGTTTCAGAACTGATTAGTGACCTTCAGATTGTGTTTTCACATCTAGTTTTGAGTTGTTTTTCTAATTTGTTATCATGATTTGTGGACTGTCAGGTTCAGTTTGGACATCTGCAAGTTCCTCGTGGAAAAAACTGAAGGAGTCAGACAGAAAACTGTAAATGAGACAAGAAGCGTGTGAAGTGAAAATAATGAGGGACAGATATTCATCTTAAATGAGAATTTATTCTGCTGGATGAACTTGTACTTTGTTTTTAAGTAGCGTATAACCTTTTGTCATATTGTCTTATTTATCATTTTATGAAGGCTAGGCAGCAGTGCCATTGTGTTGAGTGAATATACCATTACATGTTGAGATTGAGGTATTTTAT